TATTACTGTAACTAGTAGCCCTTTTGACGATATGTGAAATAAAATTAAAAAAATGCAGGAAACATCAAGTTCCACCTTGCTAATGGGGAGTTTGTTCATTATTTTCTCCTGTTTCAAAGCACAGATTAAGGTGGAAGCAAATTTTTTATGCAACCGCCATAAATGTTAGACCATAGTTGAATACTAAATATTTCAAAGGTCCTAATCTGCAATCAGTGAACTTAATGATGGCATGGTGTTCCCTTAAAAATTCTCATTATCAGAAGCTTACAGTGTGAATCCCCAAGGTGAGAGATGACAGCAGTAACAACTTTAATAAAAAACTCCTCCAATAAAGTTTCCTCAATAGTTTACCTTAAATATCTTTAAAAATAAATTAATTAATTTATATAGCATTTATATTTACAATAGAGAGTAGGAAAAAAAGTTGTGAATTTAAGAGAGAATGCTAGAGGAAGCCGATAAAGAGGAACTGTTTTCCAGCCTAAGTCTGCCACCTTGTGTCTAGAGCCTAAATAACACACAATATGCACTTGTCATTTTATTTTAAATTAAAGCAACTTCTGCTTGTCTAATGTAGGGAAATGTTTGCTTTATTTTTGCATATAATCCATCCATCCATCCATCTTCTTCCACTTAACCGTCAGGGTCACATCAGGGCTGGTGCCTATGTCCACCAGTCGATGGGCAAAAGGTGGGATACACCCTGTACAGGTCACCCTTCAATCCCAGAGACTACTTTGAGTCTATATTACATAAAATGATGTAAAAGTTTAGTTTGCTTTAGTGCCTAGTTATATGATTTATTTTGCTCTTGGACTCAAGCTTTCTCCTCAATCCTCCAAACAAATGACACCAAATTAGGTAATATAACCGTAACTCTCTTTAAGGCTAAATGGAAGATCACATATATTTCTTAGTGCTTCATATTTAGGGGTTCAGTTTGTTTAAACTTTTTTTTTCCATCATTTTTTAGCTAAACTTGAGCTGTATTTTCCTACACTTTATCTATAATCCACTCAGCTTGTCCCTAGAAGACAGGGGTGATCCTGCAACCACAGGGTTGCTGGTTCAAACCCCAAGCTCCATCTGTCTCATTTGTTGTGTCCTTGGGCAAGAAACTTCACCTGCATTGTCAACTGCTGGTGGCAAGCAGGCCCAGATGCATCTGTGTATCATAGCCTTGCTTCTCTCAGGGTGCCCCAGGACAGCGGTGGCTACAATGCAGCTGTGGCTACCGTGCAGCTGTGGCTACAGTGCAGCGGTGGCTACAGTGCAGCGGTGGCTACAGTGCAGCTGTGGCTACAGTGCAGCGGTGGATACCGTGCAGCTGTGGCTACCGTGCAGCGTTGGCTACAGTGCAGCGGTGGCTACAGTGCAGCTGTGGCTACAGTGCAGCTGTGGCTACAGTGCAGCGGTGGCTACAGTGCAGCTGTGGCTACAGTGCAGCGGTGGCTACAGTGCAGCGGTGGCTACAGTGCAGCTGTGGCTACAGTGCAGCGGTGGCTACCGTGCAGCTGTGGCTACCGTGCAGCGTTGGCTACAGTGCAGCGGTGGCTACAGTGCAGCTGTGGCTACAGTGCAGCTGTGGCTACAGTGCAGCGGTGGCTACCGTGCAGCTGTGGCTACCGTGCAGCGTTGGCTACAGTGCAGCGGTGGCTACAGAGCAGCTGTGGCTACAGTGCAGCGGTGGCTACAGTGCAGCGGTGGCTACAGTGCAGCGGTGGCTACAGTACAGCTGTGGCTACCGTGCAGCGTTGGCTACAGTGCAGCGGTGGCTACCATGCGACTGTGGCTACAATGCAGCTTACCACCATCCATACATGAGCATGTGTGAGTGACCTGTTGGTAAAAAGGACTACTTATCCACCTTCTGCTACTTTTCGACAAGCTCTACCTGCTCTGTTTTAGGGCTTAAAACTTATCCATGATGACTGCCAGAGAATTCAAATTTTCAAATTTGGTTCATGGGAGCAAGGGATCAGAGAGCTTCAGCATTCTCCTTCTCTCTCTCCTCTTTGATCCTGATGGGCATCCACAAGGTATAAGCTTTTGAGATGCTAATAAGCTTCTCACAATAAGAAAAACATAAAGACCTCATATGGTTATTCATTACTACAATAGAAAAAAATCCTTTAAAGTGCTCAGACTCCAAAAACAAATGTACTCTACCAAAAAAGTTTTTTTTTTCCTGAAGAAAAGAGGAATGGCACTTAAAAAAATCTGAACAAATCTTACAGCCCAATTCTAAAATGTATGGGAAGGGGTAGAGATGTTTCACTATCACTCTGGTTATGTCAACACCTAAAACTTATAAATTGTATGATGAAAATACTTTAACAGTTCTGTGAAGAACATTTATAGCATGGTATTCCTGAATTCGATTATGGGTCAAAAGCTTTAAAATGTAAAAATGAGCAACAATAGGCAGGTAGATATTTATTCAATATCGACAAAAAAATGAAGTGATCGTCGTTGAGCACCAATGTGGAGTTTATGAAATAATAAACCCCACTAACTGAAAGACGGGTTATGTCTAGTTGTTTGGAATTGAGATGCATAAAAAATGGGTGAGGCTATAAACGCTGATGCCTTCATGCTGCACTACTTTTTCCCTCCAGCCCAAAACACTCAACCTAGAACCGCACTGCAGTTAGAATCAGATAAATAGAATAAGGAAAATACAGCACAAGTACTGCAGTATTAGACATTAGAGACATGTAAATGCATTGCAATCTAGTTATGAAACAGAGAGCTCGAAGTGAAAGTGTAAATCATACGTTTCAGATTAGAGTTCAAAGATTTCATATAGAGATATCTGCTTAGCCAGCTCACTTTTAATATGTAAAAATTTGTAGTTATTGTTTTTTAAAGATTTGGAATTGAGAATTGATAGAAACTGAAATCAAAACAAGGAATCAGAATCAGAACCAGGATTGTTCAAATTCAAACTATGCTCAACTCTACTTGTCAGGTTTAGGCATAAATGCACCAACAAAAATCAATGTACGGTAAGTCAAATTAAAGTCCTAATATGGATAGAAATTCAAATCTGTGTGTGTTTTTCTGTCTCTGGGTTTATTTTCGTATGAGTGGCAATGTGGCAATCCTTGAGGCTTGGTGGACCTAGAGACTGCAGGGCACTTTAACCATGTCTCCTAACTTGAGTTGACTAATGACCGTAAAATATAAATTAAAGGGTTTTCTGATTGTTGGTTTTTAGCGTTCTGGTAGTGTAGCTTAGGACAGTTTACTTAACCAAGAAAAAAAAAAAGTAAAATTACTATTTTCAGTTCTATGTACAAAGTGTAACGCTTTTAAAATGCTACACCGAACTGTATTGGTTTTGCAAATTAAAAATTACTTGAGGACTATGCACAGAATTTTGATTGAGAATCTATGTTAAAAACAGAAAATGTAACTTAAGTATAGTACTGTACAAGCAAAGCAAATATTGATTAAAAAATCTTTGAAGCACCAAATCCGTTTTTTGTTTATTTTTTCAATAAAACTGGAACACAGTACCATTCAGCCTTGAGATCCACCAGATGAGCTTAGGGGAGGAATGGCTAAATTATAAAAGAATTATATGACTAGTTTCTGTTCCCTAACACTTGGAACTGATGCTCTTACAACTCATGGTTATTGTTTTTTTTTCTATTTGTCTTTGTAGTTCTGCTGTGTAGGTCAATAAATAAAATGAGTCTTCAATTCACAAATACTTCTAAGAATTTATATTTAATCATGGCTTACTTCAGCACAGGCAATAAAAAGCTGTTAAATGTTAAATTACTACAAAAAATGTTTTGTTGACATGATAAATTCCAAATGTGATGTATTATTTAAACAGGGTTACGAAATATGTAATACAATTTAATTAAAAACTATGAATTTGACAATTTAGATATAAGACATTTTAATGCAAAGCAGTGTGCTGGTTTTCCCGATAGCAGTGAAGGCAACACATGTGAAGCGTTCGCGGCCCCATTAATAAATTCCTTATGAATATTACACATTTTATTTTTCATTAACACGCAGGATTCTCGTGTTATTGTATAACATGTAATTTTTTTATTTATTGAAATAATTCCAATCAAGCTACATACAGTTAACGGACAAATATTCAAAAGTTTATAATTAATCGAGGAGTTTATTAAGTACTAATTGAGATTTCCCGATAAAAATGAAGGCAACACGGGCGAAGCGTTCGGAACCCTGCTCAAGAAATGTCCTCATTCGACGTCAGTGCCTCCGCCACCATGTTGGATCAGGAAGTGGGCAGAGCCTTCTCAAGACTACCGAACAGAGCTTAACGTCTACAGACGGCGTCTGTTTTACATCGACCCGTCTTTCACCTCCTTTATTTTCCGACCTCTAAAATTCGTTTTACATGCAGTACGACTTCCTATCTGACCGAGGTAGGCCCCTGTCTTCGAATCCGACCGTTGCTCAGCCCCAGCTATGACTTCTCTCACGCAGAGAACCTCGGGCCTCGTCCAGCGGCGGACCGAGGCCATTCGCAGCGCCGCCGCCGCCGAGAAGGAGAAGGACTCTGGCGGAGAGGAGGACGAGGCGCGCAGAGGAGAAGAAGAAGAGGACGAAAAGGGAGACTCGAAGGAAACCAGACTGACGCTAATGGAAGAAGTCCTACTTCTGGGCCTCAAGGACCGAGAGGTGCGGGCTGTCCGTAATCCTTTAACATATTTACTGTTTACGTTGCGTCACTAGCTAAATGTCATCTGTTTGTTTTTTTGCCTTTTTTATCCCGGTTGCTAACGTTCCCGGAATTTGTTCTGTATTCAATTTGAACCGTGAAGATGTAAATTCGGTTTACTCTGTTTACCGTCGTGCAACGTGTCAGTTGTCAAGGTGCTTATTAATAGCCGTTCAGGTTTAATATGTGTGCTGGTACGGTTCTCTCACTTCCGGTTCATCACTTCCAACGTCTAAACATACCCTCTTTGTTTAACGAGCAACGTAGCTTCCACGGCCCTCGTTACCTGAGCAGTTCTCAGTGTGTGGGGTCCCGTGGAACCTGGAAGTGTTGCTCCATGACTGACTCAACACGTCAGCTAAGCGAACGTGTGTGTGTTTTTCTTCTTCTCCGCCCAGGGCTACACGTCTTTCTGGAACGACTGTATTTCTTCCGGCCTCCGCGGCTGCATGCTGGTAGAACTTGCCCTCAGAGGAAGGATACAGCTAGAGGCCTGCGGTGTGAGGAGGAAAAGCTTGCTGGCAAGAAAGGTATTATTAAACTGTTGTACTTTTGATACCAGTTTGAAATCTAGTCTAATAAGCTTCAGAGATTTAAGGAACATTTTGTATTATTCTAGTTAAGGAAGCCTTCCTTGCCTGTCTCGTATTTCCTGTTTCTGTGAGATGTAAATCCAGTTTAAAGTTAAAATGACATCCATCAACAATTATGTTTTGCTAGGTTATCTGCAAGTCGGATGCTCCAACAGGAGATGTGCTGCTGGATGAGGCCTTGAAGCATATTAAAGAAACTCAGCCTCCAGAGACGGTGCAGAGCTGGATCGAGCTCCTCAGCGGTAAGATAAGCTACTGACTTTGCAAACCAAAGCTTACTATCATCATAATACTGAACATTCTGCTCTAGTTTGACTATCTTGTTTCCATTGAGTCTGCTCTACTATTAAAGTAGTTTTTCTTTTGATCTTTGTTGTTTCAAGGTTTCTGCGAGGTTAAAACAAGTCTTATCTGTCTTCCTTTAACACTTTATTCTATAGTTGTTCTTTTTTTTTTTTTATGCACTGTAATATAATTATTTTTCAGGAACTACAATCAAATTACAAGTTTTGTCATGGCAGGGTGTATATCTAACGGAGTTGCTTATGTAAAACCCCCTACACAGCTGTAAAGGTTGATAAGGGTAAAAGCAATAGACACTCATGACAGAATCTAAAAACGCAAACATAATTATAATAAACTTAAGGTACTGGTTAGTTTTCAGTTTAATGTGATTCTTATCTTTCAGCCATATTGGGCTTGCAAAGGACATGAGTATGTGTTCTATTGAAAACTATATTATACACTTTATAACACCATTTAGGGAAATAAACTCAGAAGTATTTGCTTTTTAAAATCATCTAAATGACCAGTTTAAAAAAAAAGTATAGTTTTGATATCCATTTCTTAAGTATGTGAAATGTTTAGCCACTAGAACATTGTTATACATTCAATTTTAAATGTAAAAGCATTGCACAATAAGCTCTATACATTATTTTCTTAAACTAGTTGAAACATTTAGACTATAAACTTGGGGAATAATTGTTATGTTTGACTTGACGACAATCCAAGTTGGACCGGAATGTTTATTTTTTTCTGTGAGAATAAGTTGTTTATCTCTGCATAATGCATGTTTATAAGCGCAACTTGAGATCTGAAATAAATAAATAAAAAATGGTGTGGGGGAGTATTTGGCTAAAGCCAATTAGATTTTCATGTAAGTAAAATGTCATTTGTACACTGTAAACAATCTCCTCATACTATTCAATTCCACTGGATGTGGACTGGAAGGTGAAGACTTTGGATTGCATTTCCTGGATGTTGGTGTAATAATAAATTCTGTTCATACAGTTAATCAGCAGTCATAAGAAAATATGAGCTTTGACTTTAAAAAGTTGACCAGATTAAGAACAGCCACTTGATGCACAGGTAGAACTGAATAAATAACCAACGTATTGCTTAATTGTTGTATTTAAAGCCTGTAAGTAAACTACTATAGCACGAGGACACAGTGCAGGGATGCACTGAGCCAATCCACGCAGAAGCGCTCTGCTCTTAAGAGGGTCACTGTCCGAATCCGCAGCACTTATGCACTGCTGCACCATTTTTAATTTTGACATATCTCCATTAGTTTATGGAATAGATTCCTCCCCTGTAAGGAGATGGGGGTAGATCAGATTGTCAGTCCAACCAAGAACTCCTTCAGCTTATGATCTTTACTACTTATGGACAGTGAGGCGATTGTTCCTTTATGGTTACCTCACCTAAACAGTCTGCATGTTCTCACAGATCTGCCCCATTTTTTCAATACTTTGAACACACTGATTAATGCTTACCATTTTTGATTTTACAATGTTTTTATCTGGCTTTGAAGCACTTTGGTCTTCCTGGTGTTATTGTGAAGTGCTATATAAATAAACTTTGATTACCTTATTCATCCTTTCACTTTGCTTAAGTATGAGTTTGATTTCTGCCCTCTTGAAGTTGTCACCTGGAAAAAAAGGGTCTGTTACCTGAAGGCAACATGGTGCCGTAAAGAGTATTGCTTATTTAAAAAAAATGCAAAAAAAAACAACCTGTTCTTAACAGTTTGGTTTTGTGTCGACCTGCAGGAGAGACCTGGAATCCCCTGAAGCTCCACTACCAGCTCCGAAACGTTAGAGAACGCCTGGCTAAAAACTTGGTGGAGAAAGGTGTCCTCACCACAGAGAAACAGAACTTCCTGCTCTTTGATATGACCACACATCCACTCACCAACAGCACCATTAAGCAGGTATTATGAGGAAATATTCATCCTTGGTTCATCAAAAGCTGTTATCTGGATTAATGGTTACAGGTTTGGATGCTTGGGAGGATTATGACTTAAAATATAATGTTTCTGGATCACTACAACATCGAGTAGCGATTGTATGAATAGTGTTCACGCCCAGTTTTTCAACTGGTTTGACCTCTTGCATAGTTTAGTTACATTTAATTGCTTTGATTATTAAAATGCAACATTTCTCTTTTGTTGCCATTAGTGCTACAACTAACGACTACATTGCAAATTGATTAATCTGTCGATTCTTTTTTTTTTTTTTTTAAATGATTAATGGGATAGCAAAAGATACCTTGAAGAAGATTTTTTTTTTACAAAATAAAACCAGGGAAAACTCAAACTTTGCCTCTTGAGGAGTTCTGGATAGATCATATTGACGCACACTTTTTAAAAAACTTTAAATGCAAAATGTTTTTATATTTTATTTACAATCTTGGTATAATTACTGCTCTGAGTTGCTCTGCTAGCTGAAGGCATGTTTTAGAGTCTCTATACTCCAGGTAACGATTAATTGATTACTAAATTAGTTGACGGTTATTTCAATAATCGATTAATCGCAATTAATCCGATTAATTGTTTCAGCCATGGTTGCCAGATTTTGTGACTTCTTACCCTGCAGAAGTATTTATGCCTCCTGATCTTATTCACATAATTTTCAGCCTCCTTTGCTCTGATACCACTTAGTAAACTGCAGTGCAACCAGTTGCCTTGCAAAGTTACCTCATTTAGAAATGGAGCCCAGTTCTGAGTAATTAGAATCTTACCACACCAGATCTATCTTGCACATGGCAGACAGAATTATATTTTTAAAAGAAGTAAACAAACATTGCCCCTTACAGTGAACATGCCTCCCCCCTTTTAAAAACACAGTGGTGGCAGCATTATCAAGTGGGGATGCCCTCCTTGAACAGAAATGGTTAAACTAACTAAATAAGCTGCAAGGGACTTTGGACTTGGGCTGAAGTTTGATTTTTGGCAGAGAATCTGCAGCAAGAATTGAGAACAGATGGAGGTTGAGGAATTTTGCTGTTGAAAAGATGCACTTCCTGGTGCTGCGAGTTTTATTACAGTGAAATTAGATTTTCTAAATGATAGAAAAATGGATGTTAAAACAGTAAAGCAAACATTTAGTGTTTTCTATGTTGAAAGGAAATGACACAGGGATTTCAGGTTAGAGCAGTCATCAGTATTGCATCAGTTTGTGTGACTGTGGGGCAACTGTGTGTGCAGTACTTGATCACTTTTATCAACTTATTCAGTATTTAACCTGGACTAAACGTAGTAGAAAAAAAAGGGTTAAATGATAAGTGATAAGATGTTGCATGAGGATGGGACTATTTCTTGTCCTCCTATTCTATATTATGCATTATTCTGAATGAGAATATTTTGTTTTGAAAGTATAATTTTTAAGATTATCATCTGTGACTGAATCAAAAATGACCACATGAATTAAATTTATTTGAAGTTGTGCAGATTGATCATACTGGTTCCTCCAGAATGAGGAGGTCTTTGGATCTTCTAGCTCTTCTGTCTTACTGAGAATTAAATATTTTAGTAATATTTGTAAACTTCCAAAGTGCTCCTTATGCCATCAAGATGTGAGATAAAGAATAATAAACACATCATCCTCTCAACGTTTGAAATTAGGTACAGTAGCTATACATGTAGAGTTCAGGCTTAGTACCTCACAAACTTGCGCTTTATCTCTATTTAAATGAATATTTTTTTCTCTGACTGCTGTATTTTTTTTATCTGTGAGCCTGAAACCAGATTTCAGGCTTATGAGCTAAAAGCCATTTTTTCCTTTACATTGTTAAAATCTGTCTGTAGGAAGTGTGTATTCTAGCTATGTTCCTAGGTCAAAAAAAAAATAATTAGGTCGAAACATTTGTGGGTCAGATGGCTTGATTGTTGTTTTATAATAACCAATTTGATAACCGCTGGATAAACCAACGGTTCTTCAGTTAACATGATTTATTATTTCAGACCAAAATTATATCCCTACATTTCCATTTTTTAATAGAATTTTAAATTCATTTTAGAAAATATAGAACATTATCTTACTGTTTTGCAAAAGCAGCAAGAGAAGGTGGAAATTTTATAACAAATTTAACCTAAGTTTGATTACTATTAGGAGCAGTACAGGTATAACAAGCTGATCTCTGCTGAATCCTGTACTAGTTGGGCTTTATACTGTTTCATTCAATTGTTTTTAAGCTGCAGAAATATGTTGATTGCTATAGATGAATCATCAAATGTAAGCAGAGATATGCAAAAAGCTGCTGAAGAGTATTTTTTTCTTCTTTTTTTTTTAAACATATTTTTTACTTGCTATTATTTGCATTAATTGCACTTTAAAAAGCAAGCTCTCTTTTCCTGTAAGAAGTAAACTTATGTAGTGGAAGGAATTTGGCATCACCAGGGACATTTGATGTAATTGAGGTCCTATCTTTATGCACCTTAGATTTATAAACAGGATTTTTGATATTATTGTTACAAGATTTAAATATGTACAGATAGGTCCTTTATTTTATATCAACTGGAATGATTTTAACTTATAAAATATCTTATGGGTCTGCTGTGTAGATTTAACAGCTTTGTTAGGATGAGAACTGTTTGTT